CCCCAAAACCCCAAAACCCCAAAACCCCAAAACCCCTATTCAACTCCTAGGTACTGAAAGTCATACTACTAGTTTTGATTATTTTTCATGAATTTGGCACATTTCTGTCTGATCTGTGTGATTTCTTCCAAGCTCTCGCTGTCTTGTTTCTTGGCTTTAAACAATGAATTTAGAGTGAAACCTTTCTTCGTTTGGCTCTTAGTCTTAAACAAAGGTAGTAAATGCTTTTTAATAGGAGTCTTGGTATCCTTTACCACTTGTTTCTTGCTTTTCAGCTTTTTCTTACCAGCACTTAAGGATTTAGAGCTTGTGTGATTGAAAATGAAAAATTTATCATGATTGGACTTCATTCTACTTGAGAAGTTACTTTTTGAGAAACCACATTTGTCAGCCTATAGTTAAACAACCGAATAAATCACTTGCAATATGCTCTGTTGTATCTTTCTAGGCTTGGGAGAAGTAAAATTAAGCTCTTGTAGTGTCTCAAATGAAGGTTTAGGCATGACGATATGTGGTAAGTTATACCCCACTTCTTCCTTCTTGTATTGAAACTTAACAATTGGTTGTTTAAACACATGACCAGGAGTGTAATGGAACTCCGCAGGAGCTTTCGTATTAATTTTTCCTCTATTAATGGTGCATCCTAGCTTACCTTTTAGCTGTATTATTCACTATTTCACAGTTAGAGTTATAATTCTTGCATTTAGTCTGAATTTCTTTAGTAGAGTCAGGGATATTCTGAGTTGCTTCAACACTATCCGTATTTTTCATACTTTTGTTTTTATTTTTGAATAAGTGTTCTCGGGCTAGCAGGAAGACCTAAAATAATATAGAAACCTACTGTAGTCCTTTTGGGAGTTCATTAAAATCTCATTAGTCTTATTGATAGGAAATATCTTCTCGTTTAGTTTAGGAACTGGGCTCTTTATTTTCTCCTTTTTGTTCATCACAAATTTGGTATTGATAGACTGTAATGGCGAAAGTAATCTTTGTGAGCCACCAATGCTGCTCATATTAGAATTTCTAGAGGGTTCAACATCGCAATTACCTGGAATTCATGTTCAAAGTTGAAAACAAAGGGACTTTGTTGCCTCTTAAACATTGATTAGCTTTTATTTGCCTTCTTGGAGTCCTGTAGAAATTCTATAATTGTAAGTGCAAATTTACTTTCACTGATGATGAGGTGGGGAAATTTGTATGAACTTCACTTTGCTTGATTAATATAGGCTGAATGACTCCTTTCCATCTCTGACGTTCCTCTTTTGTACTATCTAGCATCTCGTTCGTATTTTGGAGGGAAGTTACTAATATTGATTTCATTGGTACTATGTCTCTTAATTCTTCAGGAAGCTCAGTTAGATCTTCCACTGTATGTTCTTTTAAGTCGAAAGATAGTGGTTTTTCTGTTTCAGATTCTGACTTATTACTATTTCCTTTATCTGTGATAGAGTTTGGGTTGAATTTAGATTGAGAGTGCCTTCCCAAACTTGCATTTTCTTGCTCAAGAGGAGAGTTCTAAAGTTTAGAAAGAAAGTACCAATTTCTCAGATGAAAATCCGCTTCTATCTTGAATAATGCTGTTAACTTTAGAACTTTTATTTAGGTTTCTCTTATTTGAAGTACTCTTTGAGCCAGATTGAATCCTCCTAGATTTATCTGGCTCTTCTTGGTTAATTTTAATAAAATAGGATTCTTCTGAAGTTATACTTTCTGATACAAGACTTGTTGGATCTTTTGAATCAAAATCGAGCATAAAGTTCTTATTAATCTTCAAACTCTCGATATTATTTAAAAATGTTGATTTTGATTTATCCATATTGGGAATGTTAAGGGCTCCAAGACTCTTTTTTGTTCCTTTGACATTCTTGTGTAGGCGATACATTGAGTGTTTCCTATCGTTACTATATGTTATAAGGTATCTAGGTACCTGCTTCTGTAATTATGGATTAAAAAATCTAGCTGTCTCTCACTAATTTCAATGTTAGAAGGTCTAATTTGCATCTTAGCTCTTAAACTTCCTTCGACAGAATTTGTATTTAGCTTGCTGTTTGGAGAATTTTCACCCTCATTATCTTCAGAGAAAGATATTTCGGACCTTATCTCTGAGTACTCCAAAGGCTTAACTTCTTCTTTCTCATTTGCAAGCTCAGGGCTTAAACTGTGAAGTTTACACAGTGATGAGTGCTTTGGAGCTTTGCTTAAAATAGGAATTTGCTTAGAACTCTAAAGCTTAAAACTAATGCCTCACTTTGTCTGTAAATGTGGAAACTAGATTAGTCAGGAGTGAGATACTTACTCTTTTTAAGACTTGAGCAATTAGACCTCATGCTTTTTGGAGTACAAGGGTCTCTTTCAGAAGACTCATTCAGAGAACTTGCCTCGTACTCCACTAAGTTATTGCTGAAATAAGCAGGGTAGATTTCTGTCTTCTTGACCTTTGCAAAATTTTGAATTTGCCTTTCCACAAGGTTAATGTTGCCCATAATTATATCTTTAAGGTCCTTATTGTTCTGCTTGACCCTCTGAATAAGAACTTTAGAGTCTATTTGATAGATAACTCCTTTCGGAGAAACTCATTTTACGCTCTGTGTCCTATAGGGGCATCCAAAATATCAATCGTTTGCTCCAAATTGCTCTCCTTGGGCTTTTACTGCAACCCTAATTTTCTGAATAGTTGCATCTTTTACTTGATATTTCAAGTTTTCAAGATGGTCTTGATCTTCTGTAAAGCATATTTGTGTTCTTTCATTTATCATTCCAAGAAGGTCAGGATTCTTTTTCTTGTGAAGAATAGATGACCTAGAATTTTAATGCTTGCTTACCACATCTGTGTAAACTTCAAGAATGATATAGTCCTTTCAGGGTCTTTACAAGTGTACATATTCTTCTGGATTTCAAACTCACCACCTAATTAAGGTCAGAATCCAGAAAATATTGTATAAAATTACTTTTGATAAGGTAGATATAGTTTGAGTCATCTCCTTCCTTATAGATTTCTTGTCCAATAACACATTCAATTTCCTTGAGAAAATATCCCAGCTTGATCTTAGTTTGGTAAGTCAGAGGATAAATGTATCTGTATCTTTCAAGGAATTTGACTATGATATCATTCTCCCTTCTTTTAATGATCATCATAACCTTCTCGAAGGAAGCTGTATTTTTAGAACTGAAATATACCTCTATTCATTGTCGCAAAATGAGAATCCTCTACTGTAATTATAGAGGCAGCTCTAGGCTTGTTATGAATTAGAGCAAGCTCTCCAAATGAACCTCCAGAGGAGATTTCTGCTACTTTTGTTGAAATTACTAATTTTATTCTGGTCTTGATGGGTTTTGAAGCTATGATTCGTTAGATCTGGACGTGTCTAGGAAGATACTTACATCTATAGAAGTCAAACTACACACTTACAGTTTAGCCCTCATGAAATCATGAGTTTTTAGGAATGTTTGCATTTCAATTCCCTCTTTAATAATTTCTTTTGCTTTCTCGATATCTATTATGAGCAAAAAGAAGGAAATACCTTCAATGTAGTATTCCCTGCCAGAGTTTGCAGAGTTTCTTGACTTGACAACACCTGGGAAGTAGTGCTTGATTTCATGTAGGAATCTCTGTTTTTCCTTACTTTCAAGGATATAGTCATATTTCTCAATAAACTCTTTGAAGGCATCTAAAATAACTAATAAATTTACTTGTAAAGTCTTTTAAATTCCTCTTAAAAATATTTCCTGGTGTTGTGTCAATAGGGCTACAGACCCACTCATAAGTAACTTCCATATTGATTAGAACAGAAGTTTTTCCCTTAAGAATTATGTAGTAGGTATCTCCATAATCCCCTTGGCGCATGACATGCTGACCTTTCTTAATAAGTGAATATTTCAAGCTTTTGTAGCAATCATATAACGCCTCGACTCCATTCTCGTTCATGAAGTCTGCGAAGAACTTGTTCGTTGCAGGTTTAGCTGAAGAGTCTATAAATCACGGTAACTATCCCTATTCTTAAGATTGAAGTAAAGTTGGTGAGTCGTTGAGAAAACTTTTATTTCTCCATAAGACATATGTTTCACCAGTTTCTAAGAGAACAAATAAAGTATTTTCACGAAATAAATATTTGGAATATAGCCCTTTAGCAATGCCAACATAGAGAGATTATGTATTGCAATTTATTTGGTGTTATCAATGCCCTCCAATTTAGAGACCATTCAACCCATAATAAGGTTCAGACTCATCTGAATTAAGAATTTAAAATTAGGTTTTTGGTAAGATTCCCACACTGAGACGATAGTCTTGACAAAACAGAGATAAAGATGTGCTAAATCAGTTTTAGTTACTGGTTTTTATCATTTATTGCATAGAGAGTTTCAAAATAAAAGGCTTTCTCTATCAAAATTATATTCCTTCTTATAAAGCTTGCTATACAATTCTTCAGGTCAATTAAGATCTTGGGTAAATCTAAAGATGGCCAAATAAGAGTGTCTTGTACAGATAAATTTTTAGGCTCTAGAAAAGTAAAAAGTTGCCAGTGAATTTCTCAGGAACTGCAAAGAATTTTGATATGAGGGAGATGCACTATCTAGCAATCTAATTCATCGTGCTTTTGTGCTGTTTTATTCTAGATATTAACCTCTTCTTCTACTTTGAGAAATTGCCTCCTAGACAAATCCTAACTTGATGAATCCTTGAGAGCTTTGTGATAGACTTTACCTTGAGTTTTCTTATTCTCTTCTTTATTTTCATCTGAGAGTTGATCATTTTGGAAATAATTCCTGAAGGTTAGAAAAATGAATACTGAAGTATCTCTGCATCGGAGTCTAAAGTTTGATGATTAATTAAATTATACAAAATAAAGGAATCTCTTTGAATAAATGTCGAACAGTCTGATTAAATAGCCTAGAACATCAAATTCTCAGCTAAAGTCAGCAACTTTATCAAATTTTCTTAAAGTCTCCTCAATAAAGTCTAATATTTAGTTTCCACTAAACTCTTCATTAATGGCTATGAATTCTCGATTATTTTGCTTGTTAACTAATATAATTATGATTTTCTCTAATAACATTGTCATTAAATTTGAAAATTAAAATCTCTAGCAAGTTTCATTAAGCTTTTTTCTGCCCTCTAACCCAGATGTAGCTCTTCCGCTGCTAAATCCTATGCCTAGGGGACTAAATTTTCTAACAATTCTAGAGTATTTCTCTTTTGACAAAAATAGGTTGAAATTTTTGCTTCTCTTAAAGCTAAAAAGTTGGTTTAACAAAAACCCATCTGGTGAAGAGTTGCCAATTATGCAGAATTAGAGCTAAGAGCATTCTGGTTTCTCTAGTTGGGCTCCCGAACATTGCTTAATAATAGCAGAGCAGGTGTTTAGCAAGAGAGTTAGCTTAGAAGTTCTACAGAGATTGTTATTTACTAGATGAACGGATTTTAAAATTGGGTCAAGAGCTGTCCAAACTATAGCCAAAAGCCTTCCTCTATTAGTTTCAGGGCGGCTTTATTCTAATAAAATAAGGAATTATATAAACCATCTCTATAAATAAGTAATAAGTTCTAGAAAAAGTATTCAGATTTCGGGCTATTTTCCCAAATTTTAATATTATTAACAGCATATCTTATATTCACCCCTTTCAAATCAACCTCATTTTGTTCTAAAACAGTATCTTTAAGTTCAGCCTCTCTCTCAAAGTCTTGCTTAGTAATAAAAAGTCTCAAAAACTCGAGGAAGTGGATACTATTAATCCTAAAGTTACATTCCCCAAAGAGAAAGTAGTGGCATCTTCTTAAAATGAACATTTTCATATAAGCAAGAACTGGTATGGCTAAACTTCTAAGTGCTAAAAGACTAGAAATTAGTGGGAAAAAGATAAGCAACTGGTAATATACCTTCTATTTTCTCTTTATTTCAGTATCCTGATAACTTGGCCAAGGTTGACATCTTCTTGAACAAGCTTAGGGAAACCATCTCTTGAACTCTATTTATAAATGTTAGACAGAGGGTATAGCAAAGAAGCAGGATTTGGTCACTTCTAGGAATTTGATAGAGTTTGTATTCCTATTGTTGTACAATATTTAAGCAAAATTCAGACCATTAGCTCTTTAAATGATAAAATTTTCCTATTTTGTAAGAATGTACTTCTCTCTGGTTTATTAATAAAATAGAAGATGATCTTTAAGGTTTGCAAAATAACCAAAAGTTCTAAAAGAGTCTAGCCTAGAGTTTTATCCTTCTGAAAATTAGGTGTTTGATATGCTAACCCACACCATAAATAGATTATCATATTGGGAGCTACAAAGACCTTACAGATTTCTTCTTGATGATCTGAGCCTTCTCCTCTTCTTTCTATATTATAGGTTATCATGAGCTGATTCAATAATTGAGCTGGAGCATTACCTCATTTATAGCCTTAGCTATCTCCTTTTCAGAATCCTTATCACTAGTAGATCAAGGATTGAGATTGTCAGGATGAGTTGATGTGTCGTTAGAATTAGTCTTCTGTTTAATGCTTACTTTAGATAATTCCATTATTAAAAATACAATAAAAATTATTAATAAAGGGGTTTTGGGGTTTTGGGGTTTTGGGGTTTTGGGG